ATAGAGGAGAGAGAAAGAGAACAAAGATTTTGAATAAGACGGATGGAAGAGAATGGATGAATATCACGAGGTGATGAAGCTCTGTATGCATAGAGGCCATATTGTTATTAGATAAGAAAATGACATATTATATTTGCAAGCACACGGCCCATGCAAAGTAATTTTAAGTCATGCGATCCTAATTCAAAATATTTTTTTTCATAATATCATTGTTTAAATGTCTCTTTTTCAACATGTAGTTCAATGTAGGAAAGTAAGCTAAACGCAGCCATACTGTTCATAAGCCATTTAAAACTAAATAGCTTAATGATCAGTAACCTTGTGAGAGGAGCTGGGCCTACCTTAATGGCTTCACTCACTTATTTTTTAAATTATATTGATTTTATAATTTTGACTTTTAATTTTGATAGAGTTTGAATTTTATTTTCATGTGAAGTTCATAATTTATCTATTTATTTTATTCATCATAACTATTTATATGTTATATATTTATGTATAAATTGTTCATATATATTTCAATCATGAAAATGCACATGAAGAGTTTTATATCATATATGTGTGAAGTAAGAGATCATTTTCTTAAACAAGTGGTGGTATCAAAGCTTAATTAGTAATGATAACTTGTGTGAAAATGATAATAAGTTTAAATTAAAAAATAAGTGGTATCAGAACTTATGGCATATGCTTGCATGAAAATAATGATAAAATCCTAAATTAATTTATATTTATATATTTATACATATAAAAATTAACAAAATTAATAAAATTGAAGGGTAAAATCAAAATTTATTATAAAAATAAAAAGAATTAACTTATATGTATTTATACATGCATTCTTTATTAGCTATAATACTCGTTAATTTAAATGAAGTTGTAGATAGGCTAATGATTTGAAGGATATTAAATACACATGTAACTAAGTAAAATCACATAAGTTGTGGCTAGTCTTCCTCTTTGTCTAGAATAAAACAAAATATTTTGACTCCTTCACACAAGTTAGGTTAAAGCATTTTGGAGGATTGGGATGAGCTTAATGATATAAAGAAGGTAAAAATAAGAGAAGGTTGTTATAGGGTTGTATTTGTTTCACAACAAAAAAGGTATTATTAGTTTGATGCTTTCATGAAAACTCATGCTCATGTTTTGAAATTAGTTTATGCACTTCTTGAGATCTATTCGCACATTTCAAAGGGAAATTGTATTTAATTATTAATTTCTTGTGGTAAATACAACTTTAATTTGACTATATTCAAGGCTTCATTGTTCATCAAGTTGCAAAGACCTTTTCATTTAATGGCAGGTTCCTACCTCTACACTCTTCACCTAGCAAGATCAAAGAGTGAATATATCAAGAATTGTCTTCTTTAATGAGGATTAGGTTAGATTTTAACATGGAGTGTATGGAGAGAAAAAGATTTGATAGTTTGGAATTGTGGTTGATGATATTAAACTTTAAAAATGCGAAAGTATAATGTCAAACTTAACATTACCAAAACAATCTACACTCGATCAAATTATCATGGTAATTAAGATATGTCAAATCTTTATTTTGACTACCATGATAAATGATTAAAATTTAAAGATAAAAAACATCCAAGGCTGGGATCCCATTTTAAACTCTTATAAAAAAGTTTGAATTCAAACAACAATAAGATAGTGTTTTAAACATTTAAGAAGCGTGATAGAAAACATATAAAAGGATAATGAAAACATATAGGTAAAATAGATATTTATGCTCAAATTGGTCTGTGCACTATGATTAAAGTGTCATCCGACACAATGAGCTGTGTGTTGTGATAAAGGCACTATGCTTCGTGGCACAATTTGCAATTATTGCTAGCATGACAGCATGTCAAGATGAAATTTCAACTTATGCCATTTCATCATTTGACATTCGATTAGAATGATTTAAATTTTCACACGAAGCTTATTCAACTATCTAGCTAAAACATTGGTTTTATTTTAAAAAGATATCTAATTTAAAAGTTGGATACTCGAATACAAAATGGTTACTTATACAAAAGTAAAATGCTATCAAGAATCCCAAAATTAAATCATTTGCCATTAGTCTCAAACGAGGCTTACTCAATGTATTGATAAACACTTCATTGAATGATTATATAAGCAATATTACATCTCATACAAGATTTAGGTAGTTAAACCCTTAATTTCAATCAAAATGGGGCAATAATGTATTAAGTATAATAAATTATACCCAATGGCCATATCTAATGCATAACCAAGTTAAATCCTATATAATGCACTTGCATTAATATTTTAACCTCAAAAAATTGATACAATTCAAATACATATATCTTGGGCCAAAATACAACTCATAACAATCATCTATCATGCAAGTGCATTAAAACATGCATGTGATAAATCTAGTTGGTAATTAAAAAAAAAAAACACACACACACACGTTCATTCACACATCGACTTAAAAGTTACTTGGGCAATTACAAAGGTAGAACAAGTCTACTCCTTGCCTGGTTCTTCTTCCTTGTCCTTATTCGTGCCTTCACCTGAAAAATAATAACCACAAGGTGAGATAGAGTTCTATTAACCAAATAATATAAACTATCTTAACAAATTAAACTAAACAAGCATAATAAGTAGAATAACATCAAAACATGTGGAATAAAGTATGAATTCATTAAATTAAACCATGCATGATCTTAGATTTCTACTCAAACCTTCGCAATGACCTCCAACTGAATTCATAAACTAACAATATACTAGATCAAGTCTATGTGAACAAACTAGTCCGAGCTTGCCTAATATGAAAGTTAGCCTAGCCAAAGGCATTGTTATCACTTTTGAAATATGGATTCCCTTGTTACGAATGCTCGAGGTGTCATATTGCTCTAGCCCACACTCTTTCAGGTGATAATGGAGTTGTTGGAATGATAACTGATATTAGGGCTACCCATAATGTCAATAATACCATATAGATTTCTATCCACTCCTCCCTATAGTGAACTCCCATTCTTTTACTAATCATATGCTAATAAGTGCATCATTACAACATAACTTACCCATACATTTCACACAAATGCCCATTTATCAATTTAATATCACTCATGATCATAAACAATATAAGTTCATTTCATAAGTAACAAATATGTCTTTCTTTCAAAACATACATGCATCCCACATCAGGTAGGTTCTTAAACATACATACATATATACATTATATATATATATATATATATAATAATAATAATAATAATAACTTCTTTCACAAAACTTATAAACAATCTAGCACGCCAATAAATAGAATATACTATTTGGTTGCCTTAATCCTTTCGTTATGGAAAAAGGGCTACCTTTAGACTTTAAAGCTCTAATAGACTCCTCTAGCTCAAAGAGGTTCTAAGTAATAAGAATCTATATATTAAAATGTGATTCGTTCAGTATCAATACTAACATAAGCCCTTCTTAGTAGAACTAGCTACTCTTACCTACAACTTCTATTGTTGGCATGTTCTAAAACCTTAATCATCTTCCATCAACTCTACTTGGCTACAATTAAGTTAAACATCAACATTAAACAACTCTAGTTACTTTAAAACTCTCATTTTCAAGCTAGGGTTCATCCAATTGTTGAAACGCAACCTCAAAACTCAATAAAATCTTCAATCCTAAGTATAATAGCTTGAATCAATTTTCAATAACTCCATTTGAGTTATTAAGTTCATATCCAAACTTTAGTGTCATAAAACTAATGTCAACACTCCTAAACATCAAAGAGAATGAGTAGGAAAGAAGACGAGGGATATGTAAAGCTTACTTGAAAGTTTAACGGTCTAGCTTAGCTTGAGAGTACCTTAAAATTGTAGCCTTAGCAAAAAAAATCCTCTTTCCCGCGCTCTCTCTTGTGTTTCTTCATATCCTTTCTAATTCTTGCATTTGATCCGCATATTATTAAACCAAATTTTGTCTCTTCTGTCGTAGCGTATGGTACAAAGTTCAAACTCATTTTTGGGCTCTCCCACTTAGGCCTGGTTGGTCCAATTACTATCTTAGCCTGAGCTTGAAGCTACCCAACATTCCAAAAAATCTATTAATAATCGTGAAAACATGATTAATTTAATTAATTCAATATTTTATTAATTTATTTTTAATTAGTATAAAAAATTTTGAATTAATTTTTTTTTAAAATTTTTGGAATGTTATAGAAAAACATGAGAGGTGTCTAGATGATTACCTAGAGAAATGGATGGCTAATCTATCGCATCTTTCTATAGGAAACAAGTCGTTTCTATTACTTATTGTCAAATTTGCCGTTAGATTTACACCCAGGGATTAATGATGTTAGTCACTTCATTTATTTCCAACTAATCAATTTATTAGTCACTTCATTTAAATTAGGAGTGTTTCTAATTAATCAAATTGTAAGCACCCAATCCAACTGAAATAAACTAAATGAACTTTATTTAAAATTAAGGAAAAATTATAAGAATTTGGGTATTATTTTGTCTATCAATAATAAGTTTTGAATAGTATAATTCAATTATTTTTAGTTCCATTTTTAATAACCCATTCTAGTTTGTACCCTTTTTTTATTCCTTAATTTATTTTGAAAAAAAATCACACCTAGATCCACAAAACAGATTAATTATCAAGAGAAAATGACACTTGATATTAAATTTATACTTAAGTTGTAAATGCTCTTTACCCAATTATAAATATATAGAATTTAAGATTTGAGGATATTTTTATACATTTTATAGACTTCTTGACAATTAAATATGTTCTATGGGATCTAAGTATGATTTTCCTTATATTTTCTACCTATTTCATCGAGTTTAAATGATTAAAAAAATACATACAATATTTCAAAAATTTTAAACTATAATTTATCATGCAGGAAGAGATCTAGTTAATTAATTGGTTATTAATTAATTATTAATTTTAGTTAACTATTATTATTTTTCAAAAACCACTTATCGTCCCCTAAATTAAAAATAGCAATACTCTCCTGCTAGAGCTGAGATTCCTGCTAAGTGCTATGCACGTATTCTTCCTTCTCCCTGATCTTCTCTTGCTTCTCTATTCTCTACTATGCCATTGGAATCAATGTCTTCATTCCCTTCGTCGCGCATGCGATTGGAATTTAAACTCGCAGATAACTATTTGTTGGGAAGAGAAATGAAAAGGGAAAAAAGCATACTTGATCAATATGTGGAAGAACTGCATAGAGAGACAGGCTAAGCACCACTCTGTCAAGTCTCTACAATGCTTGGTGTTTCGCAATTCTCGGAGGGGTTGAAACTTCTCTCTCTGTCGTACCAACTACCTTCTCAATTCCAAATCATTTCTCTAATTTCCTCAACTTCTTTTTCGCTGTTTTGTTTTTTTATTTTTTATTTTCTTGTTTGTTTTTCCATTAATGTCCTTCCTCCTTCAATCTCCATCTCTTCTGCGTATTGAAGGAAACAGAGTTGAACTTTAATCTTTTCCTTTCTTTCTTTCGGTTCAGGTTGCTGTTGAAATCACCAAAGGAGGAAAATTTTCTCCCCTAAATGGCCGGCCAGAAATCCTGCATATGAGAACATTTAGGTGTATATACATTGCGACCTGAAATGTTCGGTGCAGGGAATTCTGGTTAAGGTTTTAGCATTCTTCATCTTCTTAAATAAAGAGTTTCCCTTCATTTTTCTTCCAGCCTTCTTCATCTGATGATATTTCATGCTTTTTACGTGATTTTTATTTTCAACTTCCATTTAGCTTGAATTTCATAATTCATTTGGGTATTAAAAAATATAAGTCAATGTGGAGATGCTGCAAGATTCAAATCCGGGGTGCTTTTCACAAAGTGGATTTTGATATCTTATTATGCAATTAGAGCCAGCAGTGTTTGGGTTTCTGATTGATATGATCATGTTTGGCTTCAAAAGAGGGTAGCTAGAAATGCTTTTAAGGCGAATGGGTGAGTGGTTATAGCAATTAGAAGGCGGCGATAGATTTTTAGAAATATATGCCTTCTTGTCAGGAGGGGATTGTAGGTTAACAATATGGGGTGCCTCTGCTCAAAAGACAAGAATGAAGTTGAGGAATATGATAAAGAAGAAGATTTCACCAAGTCTTCATCAGTACAACTAGTTGCTCCTGCACTCTCAACAGCAAAGTTGGGTGCTGCTGCTGACACTGATGGTTCAGTAAATAGGTTGCTTAAGAATATTCACAAACAAATGCAAACAACCACAATGTAGTTGATGCAAAACTGATAAAGGGCCTACATCCGAGATGTGTAACATCAGATGCTAGTCTTGCGGAAGGAAAGGGATCGATGTCTCGAATGCTTAGCATTTCTCGGGATTCAGAAGCAGAACATGTTGCTGCCGGATGGCCATTGTGGTTATCTTCAGTAGCAGGAGATGCCATCAAAGGGTGGGTTCCTCGACGGCTAGACTCTTTCGAGAAGTTAGGCCAAGTTAGTTCTAACATAAACTGCCCTTTTCTCTTTGCTGCAATATACCATTGCATATTTTGTTTGTTGCGCATTGTTGATAACAACAGGTGATTCAGTTTATGTGAAGCTGATTACGTTGGTAATGATTAATAACATTGGTACTGTGCAAACATATCTTGCTGACAATTGTGGAAGAGTTTGCCAATATGAAATTTGTTGCAAGACCCAATATGAAAGTATACTGCAGTCTGCGGCATCTTAGCATTTTATCATTATAATAATTTTTAATGACTATTTAATAGAGGAAAGTAAGCATGCATCTCTTGATGATTCCTTAAGACAGGAACATAACTTTTTTACCTTTGAAATTAAAAAAAAAATGTTATCTTTTTATTTGCTGAAGCTGAATTTTAATTCTTCTTTTATTTAAGCAGTCTTCATAACTTCTATGCGAATCTAGATATGTATGGATGAGTGAAATTGATAACACAAGAGTGGCATCAGTTGTCAACTTATCAGTTTCTTCTTCTTCTAGTTTGTGTTAGTTGCTGCCCCATGCCAGCTGGCTTGTGATTTCTGGATTTACTTACTAGCAGCGTGTTCTTAACATGTTTTATCTTTCAATCTGTCTTACATTCATGTGGATACTATGTGCAGGTTGGCCAAGGTGCCTATAGCAGTGTACACAAGGCTCGTGACCTTCAAACTGGTAAAATCGTGGCATTGAAGAAAGTGCGCTTTTCACCTTCAGATGCTGAAAGTGTTCGGTTTATGGCTAGGGAAATCTATATTTTGCGTCAACTTGACCATCCAAATGTCATGAAGCTTGAGGCTATCGTGACATCAAGGACGTCCAACAGCTTGTATCTTGTCTTTGAGTACATGGAACATGACCTTGCGGGACTAGAAGCATTGCCTGGGACAAAGTTCACTGAACCTCAGGTATATGCCATTCTTAATCAAATATTGTTGTTTCATAGTGATTGGATTTTGATCACAGGAAGCTTTTGCTGCTTATTTAAACAAGTGGAAGGACTAAGACGTATTCTATCTAAAATGTACTAAAAGTTGAAAGAAATTTGAAGGAAACTACATTATGATATAGACTATGAATTTTATAGGAATAATGAATGCATGCCTTGTCTTATCAGACGTAGCTTTTATTTTTTAAGGAGATTCTATTTCTACAATCTTTGAGCAACATTATGTTTATTTTAAAAATAGGTAGATCTACTATTTTACTGGACAGATGTTAGAATTGTGAATTTCAACATATTTATCTGAGTCAGTTTTACATGACAACTGGTAGAAGATTAGAATGTATTCATGATAGTATATAGAAAATTTAGCTAGATAATACATTTTTTTTTTTCATTTCTGTTTGGAGCTTGCAGATAAAATGTTATATGCAGCAATTGCTTTGTGGGCTTGAACACTGCCATAATCACGGCGTGCTACACCGTGACATCAAGGGTTCAAATCTGCTGATTAACAGTGATGGAATTCTTAAGATTGCTGACTTTGGTCTTTCAACTATTTACCAAACTGATGAAAAAGAGCCATTGACTAGCCGTGTTGTGACTCTGTGGTACAGGCCACCTGAGCTTTGCTTGGTGCTACAGATTATGGACCTACAATTGACTTGTGGAGTGCTGGATGCATTCTAGCAGAATTGCTGTACGGGAAGCCTATTATGCCAGGAAGAACAGAGGTATCGTTTCTTTCCATTAATATGAATATTGTATTTGGATACGTTACACCTTTAATTACGAAGATGCAGGCTATCTCAATCCTTGATTTCTAATATTTCTTACTGCAGACAATTGCATACTAACAATTTTATTTATTATCTCCAGGTGGAACAAATGCATAAGATTTTTAAGCTTTGTGGTTCCCCATCTGAAGAGTTCTGGCAGAAAACAAAATTGCCACATGCAACAAGTTTAAACCTCAGCAACAATTACAGACGCCGTGTTTCTGAAACATTTAGAGACTTCTCCTTCTGCCTTGGCTCTTGTTGAAAAGCTCCTTGCAATAGAGCCAGAAGATCGAGGTTCAGCAACTTCTGCTCTTCAAAGTGAGGTATTTCTTAAAAATCGCCTATCACATAATTAAATCACCGGGTTCATCTTTCTTGTAGCTGTATTTATCATTCATTTGGGGAAACCAAAACTGCATCTTAATAAATACTCCCTCCATCCCTTCATATAGTACCCAGTTGCCAAATTCACGGAGACCAAGGAAGTTGTTTATGTCTAATTTTATTTCTTTCCAAATCTACCTCTAATTAAATGTATAATGGTTAAATCATTTTTTAGGGGTTGGGGGGAAAAATCACTGATTAGGGTATATCTAGAAAGATTTTATAATGCATCCTAGAATTACGAAATGTTCTGTAAAAAGGAACAGGGGCTGTAGAAAAACTGGGTATTATAAAAAAGGACGGAGGGAGTAAAATTTTTTCATAATTTGTTTTGATGAACCTCTAATAATGAATTATTGACCATCATCAATTTTATTGGGTTTTTTACCCGAAGTGTATTTGTCTAGGTTCGTTGATATGGGAGTTATAAATTCAATATTTTCAACTGAGCTTATTGTCTGTTGGATATTTATGAATTTTAATTCCAGTTCTTCACATCACCGCCCCTACCTTGTGATCCATCAAGTTTACCGAAAGTTTCCTCCTAGCAAGGAATTTGATGCCAAGCTTAGAGATGAGGAAGCAAGAAGGTATTCAAAATTCTATTTCCTAATTTTCACAGACAAGTGCTATAATCAATTAATAATAGACTTATTGTTATTTTCTCATTCACAATTTACCTATAATTGAAATCTTGACAGACCTTTCTCTTGTTAAGTACTAGTTCTTCATACCCCTTACTCACCAATGTTGTAAAAATCAAATGGGCTGGCTTTCTCCAGAAGATATATTGTCTAGTGGATTCAGTTAAAACGCTTAAAAACTTTGATTTACGAGATTACTTTTTTCACTTGGTTTTTCAGTCTTCTGAAGTTTCAAACTAAATTCGTACTGATATTCCATTTTCCATGCCTTTACTTTCAGAAAAAACACTGAAGCTGTAAAAAGACATGTACCAGCATCTGTTGCACGAGGTGCAAGAGATACAAATGCTCTCCGAAACACCAGAGTACAACGCACCAGGAAATATATCTGTACGTATCTTCATTAAAAAAAAAAAAAAAGCATGGTCACTACTAATTTCTTGCTTCTAGGCTCATGGATACATTAAAATGGCAGGTTAATTCAAATACAAAACGGTCTAGTGACAAATATAACTCCAGTGAGGTGGCTTCCCACTTTAAGTATTGTGCCAACCAGAGGATCTGTACAAAACGGTCATGATCATCCTACTTGGGCAAAGCATGCCGCTGCAACAGGATCGCCATTGAATAAGAGATCAGAATCCAGGGGGAAGAAATGCAGAGTTAAGGACGCAGAGATCTAACGTAAACCAGGCAGCAGCAAGATTTTTTCTAGCTCTCATCTAAACAAGGCAAGGCAGTTCTAGCAGAAAACCTGGAACAGTAGGAAACACTTTGCGTTCTTTATTTCATACCATGTGATAGACATGGTATATTAATTCGTATTTGTATATCACATGTTGTAGCGTCCTTATCAATCATGTTTTATAATATGGTGCTATGGACAATTACAATTAAATAATCTTTTTTGCATGAATTATATCCTAGGGAAAACTACACACCAACTTTCAACTAAGGTCTATTATACAATCACTTGAATTTTAAAATGCGACAAAATCCCTCCTGGGACGTTGGTCTACAATGAAAATGATTGCATCTTCTGCACTTAATCTTATTAGAATTTAGTATCTTTATTTTAGCCCTAGGTTCTTGGAGGTGTTTTATTACATTTTTTAAGTTCATATACAAATTCTGCTATTAGGTCTTACTTTAGGAGATAAAATGTAGTTTCCCTAATATTAATACAATGTGCACACGCGCTCACGTGTGAACTCATTGATTGTCTCCGACGATGAGAATGTTCATCATAGTGTGTTATTATGATGGCTCACCTTGCTCATTCACAATACTTGTTAACTGCACATCACAGACTTGTACACTCCACATGTAGAAGTTGATTCTGTTCTGGCTCACCATGCTCATAGTCAACATGATTAATCTCATATTCCTGAAAAATTAAAGCAGTATTTCTGTGTTCAAGTCTATATTTTTCATCTCTGAGAATTGTGCTGCATTTTCATATAATTTCAGGGTTATGGGCCCAAGAAAATAGGATGCACCACTCTGGACCATTGGTGCCTCCTGGAGGTAACATCGATGACATGCTCCGAGAGCACGAGAGACTAATGCAAGAGGCATTCCGTACTGTCAAGGACAAGAACTACCAAAAAAATTACAAGTAACAAGAAAAACCAAAGTATAGGCCATCCTCAGATATAAACTGTACACTTCTTATGGTGGGCATTTTATTGCTTAACTATCTGTTTCAGTGAGAGTGCAATTTCATATGAAGTAAAAAAGAGACTTTTTGTCAACCATGGCTTACTAAAATGGATGCAAAACTGCATATATATTGAATGTTGATCAGGAAAAAAATTACTGACAAGATGACGTATGGTCATAATGGTTTGTACAGACTTGTTGCTCGCTGTTGATTAAAAAGGTTGTGTAAAATTTCTCTGATTAATTGTATATTTGTGTTGAAGATTAGCTTTGTATAGTTCAAGTAATTTAAAGTCCAAGGCATTTGCAATATCCTCATTTTCTTACTGTCTTAATGCACTAGTTACTTACCGTTCTAACACTGGGAATTAAACAGGTGGATCTATAACTACTAATAAATTTAGTCCACTAATAAGGATTTAATACATAACTTATTAAGGTTATGAGATTAAGGGCAGGTTTGTTTAGATTAAAAAATAAGTGATTTTTAAATAGTTTAGAGATTTTATAAAAAGAGATTTATTTTGTTGAGGTTTTATAGAGCAAAAGTATTTTATATTGGTTACAATAATAAAAAAATAATTAATTAGTTAAGATTTTTAAATTTATAACATCTTCCTTGATTTTTGTTTTAAAAATGATTATTATTCTATTATTCTAAAATTTTATATACATATCCTGCCTTTTAAAACACTTTCTCATTTATTGCTTAAAATAATTAGAAATATGTTTCTTTTCAGATTCTGATTATTTTCAAAAGTTTCAGAAAATATCACAATAATTTTTTTTTTGGAAAATAAGTTGAAATAAATGGATCTAAATCGTGCTATCAATGTAGGAACATTGTTGGTGGCTAATATAAGTAGTTTTTTGGGGGTACATGAAGCTGTTGTAAGCGTTTTTTTGTAAGGAGTTTTTAAGATCTAATTCATCTAAATTTTTTTTGGCCTGAAACATAAAAAAAAAACCAGAACTTAATCAATGCTATCCGTCCATACCTAACTCCACATTCAATTCCTCCATCCCTGTTGGTTTTTCGATAAAAGATGACTAATAGTGACATTAAACCAAATATATTTTTTATTAGTCAACACAAAAAATAAGTATTATGTAATTTGGTCTTGTTTTTTAAGAGCATTTCACTTAAAACAAATTAATAAAATGCAAATTATTGAACCGATATATTATTGAAAACTTTTCTAGGACATATATGGTAGAGGGGCGCGCGCGCACATATATTCGACAAATTAACGCAAAAAATGAATTATATAGAAAGATTTGAGTTTTAAATAAGTATTACAAAAGTGATGAAAGTAATAATAAAAGGTTAATATTTGAAGTAAAATACACCAATAGCCCACTATTTATCTAGTTACAGAGACGTTCGTTTTATTTTTAAAACTAATATCAACTTCCTTTAAATCAAAATTTACATAACACATGTTTTTCCTCTATTTTAAAGATTTCATTTTCATCATCCAAATCCAACCGTTAATTACTGTGAAATCATATTTTGAATTAAAATCCCTCTTTAACAGAAAATGTTATTCAAGAGTCATTTAAGTTTTCAAATGATAATCAGAATATATAAGTAGGAAAAATAATATTAAATATAAGTTAAATTAGTATATAGTTTGTAAGTTTAGGAGTATCTTATATAAACTTATTTATATAGTAATTTTTAAATTTTAAATACAGAAGTTGTCAAAAATAATAATTTTAAACAAACATGAATAAATTCATAAATTAGGAATTTTCTTGGAAAAAAGGGAGCTAGGAATTTAATCTAATGAGAGATAATTTAATTAATATAATTTCCTTTTATTTTTGTAAGTTTAATATTTGTAAAATGTTTATGTAAATATAACCTAATATTCTTTAAAATAGGAGAGAGAATAAATTAGATTATGATAGAAAATTAATAATTTTAAATTTTTTCACAAATTTTAATTAATATAATAAACCATTTTGGAATTTTAAATGGAATATTCCTAATACCATTAAAAAATAGACTAAAAATGTAGGTTCTAAAATAGAAGAGAGGTTTTTGTAATTTTAACAAACTTGAAGGGAGTTCATTATATTTTACTCTTTAATTTTGTTATGTTGTGAAGTCTGATATGCATATTGTATCAGATATGTAAACAATACAATCATGCTAACGGTTTTGTAAGAGTATAAATACTACGCATAATATAAGCTCCATTGCCTTGGCAATGCCACTATGGAGAAGTCAGAACTTTCTCCTTCTCTCTCCACGTCCCCCCCCCCCCCCCCCTTCACATAAATGACTTGATTATTTCATGAAGTGTGGGTCACCCAAATTGATCGAACAGTCAATGTATCAGACATTGGGAAGAGCTTACCTATCATTATTCATTAGCTCTCTTATATACAAAATAACAAAAAGATAAATATACTTCAGTGCACTGTGGAGATCAATCCTAAAGCCTACATTTTTACAGTCAACTCAATACATCAGACATTTTTAACAACAAATTAGATATTCTGTCCCATCCCCCTCAAAAATAGCAAATGGAAAAAAAAATAAATTGTTACATCTACTCTGACCATACCCAAGAAGAATTATTTACATCTTCACTTCAACAACATCACCATCTTTCAGCTCTGTACTGGGCAATACCAACTGGCCATTAACCAAAACCAACTTCCCTTCCATACCAACTCTTTGGAGCAGCATCAGCAGCTGTGCTACCAGCTCTCAGCCTCATAATTTCACCATGAGGCCAACATATGATCACCACTTCCCTAGGGTTAAGAGAACCAGGTGAGTCAACAGACTTTTCATCAAGCTTTTGCCGTGTGATGCTTACTTCAGACCGCAACTGCTCTTCCCAACAAAGCATTGTTCTCAACAATTTCACCTAAAAATGTGAATATAATCATAAACGTTAGGGATTCAAAATGTTATTGGGATCTCTACATTCCTCCTTTCTGTCACTTGGTTCATACAAGGGAAATTAATCCAATTCAACTGAATTGTTAACCGATATCATCACTGTTTGTGTCTGTAGCGGAAGGGGTAGTATGAATCACACAGCGAAATGCGCTTTAAAACTAAGATCTGATTAACACAATCTTTACAAAGATTACCATAAAAAGCATATAATAATTTATAGCAACTATCCCGATCAGCACAACAACGTTTGTTACATGTGAATGGTTTATAACTGACTAATTCAGTTTCTCATACCCATATGTGAAAGTCAACAGCAAAAGGAAGTATGAGTTATTCTCAGGGAGAAAGATATGGAACATAAGAAA